GAGACTGTCTTGGGGACAAAGAAAAGGGCTCCTTGCAGATGGAGAAGGTCGGCAGAACTGAATGCTTGTTGAGCTGATCTAAGAGCTTGTTGCTATGAGTGCAACTTTTTGAAGTGTCTTTGTAAGACAGCTGCTCTTCAAGGCTGTTTGGAGAAAACAAAAAACTGTCTTTTTTTCCAATCTGCTGAAACCTGTGGTGCAGGTAAGACGGCAGAGGTTTTGAGGCCTGTTTTGCCATTTGGCAGGCTTAAATTTGTTTTTTGAAGGCAAAGTCATGTTTGAATTTTAAACTTGCTCCAGAAAAGACATTTGTCTGAGGAGTGGGGCTCCTGGGGCAGGGTGCATGATTTCTTCTGCTCAAGTGTCTGCTGCTTTCTGGTCCCAGATCTAATATGGTTATAATGGCTACTTCAGCACTTTTAATATGTTCTCTTGAAAGCATTGCATGAACATTAAGTCTCACGGCACCCTGATGAGTTCTGTTACGGCCCCCAGGTTTAATCGCGTTGTCCAACGCTATGGGAGGAGTTGTCTGAACTACGATTAGGATTTGGAGTTTCTGCCCTTGCATGTGGTTCTCTAGGCTGGGGGTGGCTGTCCTGTGGCAGGTGTCACAAGTGACATGGGCAGTTCCTGTGTGCAGGCAGCACAGTAGCAGGTAGCAGAGCAGCAATTCAGGTAGGGAGCCCAGGAAGGAGAGCAACATATTGGGCAAAGGAAGGGGTGTGACAGGTGCCCACTCTAGGCCGACCTTAATGTGGCCCGCGCACCTGTTCCTGGGGCAACTGCCCTCCTACTCGCCTGCCATGCCTTGTTCTTAATTAATTGATCAATTGGTATTAATCAACAGGAGGCTGCCCTTATACTGCCCTGCTGCTAGGGGGCGCTGTCTGCGGCTCCATTTCCTCCCCTACACCGCAGTCCACACCTCGCCGATGGAATCACTGTTGTCTCAATTCTATCCGTATTCGGCCCCTTCCTGTTCTCCCTGCGCCTTCCTTCTTCGTGCCCACGCTTGGGCTTCCTAATAATGCTGCCCCCTCTCTGGGGCTCGCCGTGCCTGCACTAGGGCTTCTCAATAGTGCCCCCTCTCTGGGGCTCGCCATGCCCACGCTAGGGCTTCTCGAACGCCCCGCTCTGGGGCTGGGGTCTATGCACTCCGTACGCTGCGCCCTTACTGGTGCTGTGGCCCCCACACCACTGTGGGTCCCTATGAGGCCCCTAATAGCCTCACCCAAACCACCGGTTATAACAACAACAAAGCAAAACACAAGCCCCTAGGCTATAACGTAACTATAAGCCACCTGGCTATAACAACGTTGCTCGGACATCTTAGAGCTGCCACCCTTTGCTCAGCTGAAGCTGTACCTGCGGTCAGGCTGCTTCTCGCCTCTTTGCTTTGGGAGCTCCTGCCTCTCTGGTTGCTGGCAGGGAACTGCCTCTGGCCTCAGCTCCTGGGCTTTATAAGGGCCAGGCCCTGCCCCTTCTGGTCAGCTGACCTTCCCTGGTTGCCCCGGCAACCCACAGCTGTGCTCCTTAGTCACTGCTAGGGCTCCTTCCCTAGCAGTTTTCCCCTCTTCAGGCACAGGGCACCTCAGTGCTCTGTGACAAGGGGATTGGAGTGCCACACGGGGCGGGGGTGACTATTTTGCAGCATGCCTGCCAAAAGCATTGGCCCTAACTGCCCTAGGCCAAGCTGATTTCTAGGAGATTTTTTCTGGGAAAGAAGAAAACTCGTTTGCTTTACAGCAGGGGTGGCCAACCCAAGGCACAGGTACCACAAGTGACGTGGGCAGCTTCTGTGTATGGTGCGTGGCAGACCTGGGAGGGAGCAGCTAGGGCAGGAAGCGGAAAGCAATGGAGTAGGACTGGCATGGAGCAGAAACCAGAGTGGCAGATCAGACTCGGGAAGGGGATTGGAGTGGCATTTGGGACTGTGTGGGACCAAAAAAGGTTGGTCCCCATGGCTGTGAAAATTTACTGTAAAGTTAAGGTATATCCTGTTTTGGTTCTGGGCTGAGTAAGATGATGCAGAATTGTTGATTCCTTTGATTTGTAGAAGTACAAGTTATTAGAGAATTCCTACTTTCTGGAGAAGACCAGAAGGGGGTGTTGAATACTGTTATCTGCTGCCTAAGACAGCGGATAACGCAAGCCATACTATGCGTTACAGTAAGGCTAAGATGCTCATTTATTGCTGGGGAAAAAAGGCATCTCTGTCATTCCCTGAACACAAGACAATACCTGCTGATTTTTTTTTAACTAAGCATTTAACAGAAATACTAAATTTGCTATAACAAATTATCATGCAAGTATCAACAGGCCAACAGCAAAGCATTGACGAGGAGGAGCAATACTGACATGGCTCCAGTGTCTGGGGTTATTTGTGGGTTGTTTTATTATAGTAAGCAACTTGTCAGAGGACAACTTGGATGGAGACTTGCAAGTGCTGATAAAACCTGCAGGTGGTATTAAAATGGAGCTCCTGGATGTGTGTTGAATATGATTTTCAGTTTCAAGGCTGGGCTTTCTGGCTCTTTTTCTTCTTCCCCCTGCCTCTCCCTTTAAATTCCCTCCTGCGATACAGGTTAAGCATTCTTCCTGAGCAAGGGATGCCAGAGAATTGAACTCCTCTTAAAATGTAGAGATCTTTCTGGGCTGACGCACGTCTTCGGTATTGGGAAAATTGCCCATAGCAGGCAACAAGTAAGAGTGCAGACCAGGACAAGCATTCAGCACCTTTCTGAAAATGTAGTTTGCCCTGCCACGTCCTTTTAGTTAAACCTTGTTCAGCACGGGGTCAAGTAGAGGCGTAGACAGTGCTTTGATAGCATCTTGAATGCCGACCCACCTCCAGATGCTCGACAAATGTACGCCCGCCCATTGAAACGAAAGTGAATCCAGCTGCCCTGCAATGGTTAGGAGAGGAAAGTGAAGAAGAAAGAAAAAAGACTGGCCCAGTGTGATGAGGGTACTCAGTGGGACTAGGGAAACCTGGCTTCAGGTCCCTGCAGTCACAGACTTCTTTTTTGACCAAGGGCAAGTCTTTTAGTTTCTCTGTGTGTCAGTTCATCGTCTGCAAAATAGGAATAATAATTCTTTATCTCGCTAGGGAGTTGGCACCATAAATTCAGATACATGGATGGTGAGATGCACATGTACTATGGCAATGTGGGCAAAGTGCCTTAACCCCAATAGCATCTTTAGCGTTTAGACTAGTTTTAAAGTAGGCAGAACGTACAGCAGCATTTTCAGTCACCAGGAGCTCAGTTTTGCATTGTGCCAACAAGTTGGCAGTTCTAGTAACAAAATACTCCTTTCTGCTGGTATCAATTCTGTGTGTATTCCTGAAACGGCAGTGCCTCATACTGAGATACCTAGATTTTTCTGGGAAGTAACCCATCAAAACAACAAACAGGCGTGACCTGATTTTAGTTAAGATGACCCAAGATGGCCTGACTGCAGCTTAAGAGAAAAACGCTGTTTTGAAAACCTGAACTGTCATTTTTGGTTCCCTTGTTGTATTTATAGTTCATCTCAGCTGGAGTTTAGAAGTGACCTGCTATTTGTGGCTCAGTGGTAACATTTCCGGGGTTTCTGTATAGACTTGATCTGCGTTCTGGCATTTAACTTCTCCTCCCCCTTCGTGATGCTGGTCCTTTAAATGTGCCAGTACAGGATACTTCTGTAGTAAGAGTCAGATTGCTGAGCACTTCGAGGTATGCACCATCTAATATGCAACTTCCCCCCACACCGGTTCCCTTGTAAGGGTGTTTTGGGGCAGTGCAGCTATTTTTGCCAGAAACTCTTCATTTTGAATCTCTGCTACTTTGATGCAAAGCAGGTTGCAATGGTTCCTGGCAGCTTATTTAACTCGCCATGGTTACTGTGCAGGTCTTTATTATCGTCATTAGTCAAGTTAATAAGGGGGGAAATCTCCTTGGGTGAGGTTCACGCCCGTGCAGAGACCCAGCAAGGAGCTATGAGCACCATTTTAGCCCTCAACGTGTTTAAGCGTGTGGAAATGCATATTCATTTATTACACCGTGGCTTAAATCTCGCGCATTGTAAGTCATGTCTTCTGTGTTTCTCTGTTGAACCTAGGGCTTCCTCACGGAGCTCGGCAGGGCCCCGTTGGTCAGTGGACCCTTACATTTCCTTTTGGGGCAGTCTTGTGGTTAAGGCACTGAACTGTGATGTGAGATCTCTGTTTAGTTGTTGGCGTACCAGCAGGCTTCCAAGGTGGCTTTGCATCTCTGTGCTTCAGTTCCCCATGAAGAATTGAGAATAATGTTGCCTTGCCTCCAGAAAGGGTTGAAGGTGCATTTCATTAGAAGAGCTGCTCAGGCGTTACGGCGAGGTGTATCATGTGAGAACCAATACACACATACCCCAAATAACTTGCCACTAACTGAAGCTCCTCAGGCAACCATGTAGAAATATGTACTCGGGTATTTACGGTTGGTTTGGTTTTGATCGCATTTTGGATTTGAATCTCGTTCCAGGGCCAGGACATGGAGAGGCAGAAACCAGAGAGTGTATCTACTACAATGCCAACTGGGAGCTGGAGAAGACTAATCAGAGTGGCGTGGAGCGCTGTGAAGGGGAAAAGGACAAGCGCCTTCATTGCTACGCTTCCTGGAGGAACAATTCGGGCTCCATTGAGTTGGTGAAGAAGGGTTGTTGGTTAGATGACTTCAACTGCTATGACAGGTAATAGCCAAGATGGAGAAGGGCCACGTGAGAAGCTTTTCACGTTGCAGCGGACAGAACGTAACCAGTGCAATTCAACTGGGCCTCATTGATCTCCTTTAATTACTCTTGTAATTTGGCATCTATCAAAATTCACATGAAACTCCCTTTTGCTTTTAGTACAGAAGTCATAAAAGGCATGTTTAGGTCTTTTTTTTCCTGATAAAGTTTCAGTAGTCCTGGCAGGCTCTGAAAAATTTGTCCTGTACCATCGAGCAGAAAGCAGTATGTTCTTCCAAGAGCACTTGGCTCTGCTGAGGAAAACTTGGACTTGTGTGAAGCTGTCTAGAAAAACACAGCTCTCTGGGGGTGTTAGACATTGAGATGTCCCTGTGTTATTGGCAGATTTTTTTTTTCTGTCCTTTGACCCTACCAACTGGGGTGGCTGTTGGGTGGGCAAGACATCATTTAAGAGAGTCTGGGTTGAGGGGCAAATGGGCTATGAAAATACTGGTGGTAGAAGGCTCTGGTTGCATTACAGGTCTTGGGGAAAATGTAGTCTTGTCTCCTTATCTGCAGTGTTATGCTGCTTGTTAAGGCTGTGGACAAATGGATGGAGAGGCTAAGCTGCATGCAGAAACTGGAGTGCTGGGGCAACTACACACAAATGAGGAAGCCACGCATTTGAAAGTGTGCAAAGGGAGGTGGAGGGGAGTGTTCATAGAGAAGTGAATTCTGAAGTTACAGAGGAAATGCAGGCTCACATGGCTCTTTCCATAGCTTGGAGGCTACTTGGCTCAGGTTCCCTATCAGGAAAGGTGGTTTGAGCCTTTTGGAAAGACTTGAACTTCATTCTAACCCTACCCCAGGCACAATTCAGTTCAATAAACTGCTCCTTTGTTGTGTTTTTCCTCCTGAGGCCTAATGAGTCCCTGTGGCTGATTTTACAAAGGTCAGAGGTACCTGAACAGGGTTCACTTAAATTTTTGGTTGCTGTAGTGTAAGACCATCCAGCAGTAATTCTTGCAATCCGTTCAGCACTGGTGAGGCCTTGCCTGGAGTCCTGTGTCCAGTTTTTGACTCAACATTTCAAGATGGATGTGAACGAACTGGAAAGAGCCTAGTGCAGAGCAACAGAAATGATTAGGGGCCTGGAAGGCAAGACTTATGAGGAAAGGCTGAAAGAACCAGATTATTTAGTCTGGAAAAGAGAAAGGGGTGGGGGGGCAGGATTTGATAACAGCCTTCAAATACCTGAAGGGCAATTATCAAGCGGACGAAGATGGGTTTTTATCTGTGGCTGTAGGTGACAGGACTAGGAGCAATAGCCTCAAGCTGCAGCAGGGGAAATTTAGGTTGGAAATTAAAAGGAACTTTTTGGCTAGGAGGGTGGTCAATCACTGCAACAGGCAATGTAGAAAAATTGTGCAAGCTCCATCCTTGGACATTTTCAAGAGTAGGACATTTTCAAGAGTAGGTTAGACAGACTCTTGGCTGGGATGGATTAGTTGGGGATGATTCTTCCCTGATAAGGGGTCTGGACTGGTTGACCTGGTCAGGTGCTTTCCAGCTGTAAGATCCATTCATGTGTCCATGACCTGAAGTAAAACAATAGCCACATGCAAAGTTTTTCTTGGTTTCACCATCTGTAGGGATGGTGTTTCATTATCTCTGGGCCCAAAATCTGAGTTTTGTCTTAAAAACCCTAAATGTAACGTGAGATGGAATTACCCTAAATGTAATGTGAGATAATAGAATTACCCCTCCTCTGCTCCATTCCTTCATCCTACTATGCACCAAGTCTATATTCTCAATAATTCCTCCTCTTCCCTTAACTATCTGTAGGAAGGTTACTTTCCCAGTACAACATTCCCCTTGGTAGGTCAAGTCAAATGCTATATACATACAAACACTATAGGTTTTATTCCTTCAAAATAAATCAATCCTTGCATGCCCCTTAGTCATTTTTAATGCTGATCCTCATAAGAACTGAAATGTTTCACTACAGTTTTCCTGCATTTAAACAGAAGTATTTAATATAAACAGAGTGTCTCTTCTAAAATCTACTCCCAAATGCAGCAGCACTTTGATAATGGCACGCTGTAATGCAATGCCCCCATGCTGTTAACACAGTGTCTCTTTGAACCTTTGAACATCTTTATACCATGCTATGTTAGAGGGGATGAAAATGTCAGAATGGCTCACCCCTTCTCATTGCCCAAAGAAAGGGATGAGAGTGGTCACAACCCGTTTTGGGGTTGCACCTTAAGTTTCATCACTTGAGGTTAAAGTAATAGCTCAAGATTGGGAAGGTGCAACCACCCCATCTAGTTTCGTGGGCCAAACTAGTAACATGCCAACAAACAAACACCACCAGGCCAAGAACAACATTCTTCCATGTTACAAGGACTGTAGTTTTAATTACCTGGACTGGGTTTAATTAAACACGTCTCATGTTCAGTTTTGGTCTTGATGAGGTCCTCCATGATGTCGTCTCATGCTTTTTATAGTTCTGTTCTTGGAAAGACAATAAAACATTAACAGAATGGAAGAAGCGCACCTATGAACCATGGGTGGCTTCATTGATACTATCCTGGTCTTTCCTGCCTTTTTAAGTTCAGTATGCTTAAGTAGAATGCCAAGCTCCCAAGCACCATTGTGTTGGGCTGCAGGTGTATTGCTACCTGCAAAAAGGGCAGCAGATAATTATTCTGTCACTTTAAAGTAGACGGCATTCAGCATTATATACCACATTGTACCTTGTTGCAGAAGGTGGCTTGATGTTTCAATGATGCCAAGCTCAGAAGATGTAGACTCGCAGTTCTTGGAGTAATTCTATCTGTCCTTTATCTTACAAATCTTTAGTCTTACACTTTCTTTACTGTGTTCAAACACTGAGTACCTGAACCCTTGTACTTATGTCTTGAAGTTGGCTTCATTACATGATCGCACAACAAATATGCAGTAGCATATACCCTTTAAGGCTGTTAAAAGGGTATAGTCGAAAAATCAGCTGTATGCAGTTTAGAGATTTACATGGCTTCAATTGAAATTCACACCTCTTCAACATGCACACTCGCAGCTGGAGGAAAAAGTGTTATTCCTCCCCCCCATTATTTTTAACATTTGTTAAGTATAAGGCATAGTGGTATCCAAGGTGGTGTGCCTGATGAGCTGCCCTGCGCATGCACCAAAACAAGGCAAGGAAAATAATGAATCGCAGATGTGGAGGAGGCTGTTTTCAGTCATTAACTTGATTTCTTAACCAACAGGCTTAGCAAAGCATGCATTCGCCCTTGAAGAATACAAAACTCTAGTGCCTTTAAATCCAAGTGGTTTGAGTTATTGGAGTTAAAAAAAATGGCATCTGGAAATATTGCTCAACTAAAGGAAACATCTTTCCTCACTTGGCTAACTCGGATGGCTGATTTCTCTTTTTCTTTGAACCAAAAAAAAAAAAAAAAAAATTCTGGATGAGACTTTGTATAAGAAATTTCAGCTCTGAGGTTACTTTTTGCAGAAAGAAATAAACTACTGAAAGTAGTGCCATGCATTTAGATTAAAAGGGCCTTTTTCAGCATTACTTACAGTTCTGTGTCAGTGATGCCTCACTAAAGGAGACTTGTCATGGATTCATGAGTGAGCAATAATGTCAGATGTGTGTGATTGTTTTGCTGCTTCCTCAAAGCGTTTGAAGGGAGGAAGTTATGCATATAATTTAACTGGACCTCAGGAAATAGTCTGATACTGTTTTGCACAGAGGACAACCCTTGCAGCTTTAATTACAGAGTGCTTGGGAAGATTCTGGCGCGGATAATAATAATACCTGGTAAGGAAAGCAAGTGCTTGTGGTGGTTGAGGGAGGTGTTTAACAGAGCGCTACACATCTGCCACACTGCTCTGGCAGAAAAGAAGAGATGTGGAAGGCTAATGAAGTGTTTTTCAGACCTGCATGGGATTCTCCTGAAGATATGCAAAGTGCTGAAGAGAACAGCACAGCTGGATGGCTAGGCTGATGTTCGAATGAATGTCCATTAGCATGCTCAGGGAAGGAGGCTGCTGTTAGCTGTTTTTATGCTACTCATTCATTGCTTTATTTATTACACATCTTTTATGGCCTGCAGTAAATAGGGAAGTGGTTATTTCTTTGTGGCCTTTTTAAGGGTCTCACCATTCTAGTTTCTGAGCGTCTTGCAAATATTGATAAATGTATCTTATCTGCAAGAGGAGAGCATTGCTTTCCCAGCTCTGTAATGGGAGCGAGAAGACTGCCTGAGGCCATGAAGTAGATCAGTGGCAGAGCAGAAATATTGCTTGTGATCTCCTGACTCCTAACCCGTGCTCATTCCTCAACATCACACGGCTTTGCTGGCAGCAGGAGAGAACTGAGAACCCACAGCGTGTAATACCTACATTTGTAGTTCAGAGTGCTTACTTCTGTATTTCAGCCTCCAAATATCTAAAGTTGAAGCCCCAGAAAACGAGGGGCATGTGATTAGCGTTCACTTGCCAACTTTTTTATTTAAGTGGGAGTTCACCATCATATAGAAGCTCTGTGGCAGAATATGGGATACACTCAAACTTAGTTCTCCTATGCATCATTTATTTC